TACTTTGAATAAACACAATCATAATTGCTTGAACTAGGTGTGCTGGGGGTGCTGCAGCATTCCCTGGCTTGAAGAGATTTCCGTCATATATAGGGTTTACAGTTTGCTTCAATGGCTCTCAGCACCCCCACTATACACATTGTTCCAGCACCCCTGAACACAATGTTAAGATGGAGCATTTTGGTCTGATGGAAGTTCCCTCTTTGGTTAGTTTGTAGGTTTTAATGTTCGTTTTTGGTAAGGAAGAGTGCTTTTTTTTTTCTTTTTATCAAAACAGTAAAATTATGTACTGGTCAAAGCAGGGTCTCTGTCAAGGTTGTGAAGTTGTACCTATGGCTGTGGTTTCAGTTCTTCACATTAAGAAAGGGAAACACTGATTCTTCTGGTCGCCATGTACCAAGCTCACAAGTCTGCAGAGTAGTACTGTGGGAAGGATTTAATGCTAATTGGGCCTGGATCCACCTAAAACTTAGGTCAAACTAGCTACTTCAGTCAGGTCTGTGAAAAATGTCACACCTTCTGCAACATAACTAGGTCAGCCTAACCTCCACTGTAGGCACAGCTAGGTCAATGGAAGAATTCTTCCACTAACTACTGCCTATCAAGGGGTGGGTTTACTACAGTGATAGAAACCCCCCTTCCATTGCTGTAGTAAATGTCTACACTGCAGTGCTACAGTGGCCTAGTTGCAGTGCTACAGCTGAACCACCACAATGTGTATAGTGTAGACATACCCTCAGAGTCCCAAACCAACTGTGTGTTTCAAAAAGTGAGGAGGAACAAGATTGACTGATTTATTCAATTTCTCCATAGTCTGCCACTGAATGCATGTGTTTGTGAGTATGGGCCCAAGAAACCGGGACTTTACATTCTATTGTCTGCACTGACTTGGATGACTTTGGACAAGAGTGTCCTTGGAGGACTTAGTGACCTTAACCTGTCTCCATTTACCCAGCTGAGAAATGGGTGTTGTAATACTTAGCCATCTCACAGTGGGAGTGTGAGGATTCATTAATCTTTAAATACTTTGAGATCCTTGAGAGATAGTTACTATTTCAGTGTAAATTGTAATTATTAAAGAACTACTGATAGGTAGAAAACTGCTACACTTGAGCTGTGCTAATAGCTATTCCTTTTAAGAAATGTATAATTAAGAGTAATAAATGTTTTAAGAACAAAAGAAGCAACTGAAGTTTTTCCTCCAGCAACATGTATTTGTTTTTTTGTTGCTTTTCAGGAAAAGCACCAAATATCTGAAACAAGAGGAACAGTGGCAGAACAGGGAAAAATTATAGAGGTATAAAATCCTATTACCAGTCAAAATATAAGATCTCTCTCTGTCTGTCTAGGTAGTTATAAGACCCTTATCCCTAGAGCATCTCAGCCCTTCCCAAAATGAATAACAAGAATGACAAACTATGAAACAACAGGATAAAATGTAATATAGATTTTATTGTAAGGGAATCTTCATCGCAATAACCTCTGTAGGGCCTCAAAGGCATACAATAGAGAGCACTTTTATCCATCACCACCATGCAGAAAGCAGTAACTTTACCTTTAAAGTGTGTGGCCCCGGAAATGCGTGGTAATATGGTGAGCACAGGGGATCAAGGATGGGAGTTCCTATTAGTTTGTTTATCATAGTCTGTTTGAGACATGAATATTTACAAGGATCATATTGATGTCAGTGTTTTGCTAATGAATGGAAACTTGACTTGTATTGAGCACTCAACTAGTGAATTTCCAAATGTGAAAAAGGCACAATTGTGTGCGTTTGGTTTCTTTTTAACTTTTAAGGATCTTCAGACACAAATAAACCACCTGCAAGAGGAGCTCAAAAAATTTGAACTAATTGCATTGTAAGTATTGGCAATCCATTATTAAGCAATCAATGTGTAAGCGCCTGGATGACAATAAGATTATAAGGAATAGCCGACATGGATTTTTCAAGAACAAATCATGCCAAACCAACCTAATTTTCTCCTTTGACAAGGTTACTGGCCTAGTGGATGTGGGGGGAAGCAGTAGATGTAATATAGCTGTATTTTAGTAAGGCTTTTAACACAGTCCCATATGGCAGTCTCATAAGCAAATGAGGGAAATGTGGTCCAGATGAAATTACTATAAGGTGAGTGCACAATTGGTTAAAAGACCAGATTCAAAGAGTAGTTATCAATAGATTGCTGTTAAATTGGGAGGGTGTATCTAGTGGGGTCCTGTGGGGGTTAGTCCTGGGCAGGTACTATTCAATATTTTCATTAACGATTGGGATAACGGAGTGGAGAGTGTGCTTATAAAACGTGAAGATGATCCCATGCTTAGAGAAGTTGCAAGCACTTTGGAAGACAGGATTAGAATTCAAAACAACCTTGACAAATTGGAGAATTGGTCTGAATTCAACAAGGTGAAATTCAATAGAGATAAGTGCAAAGTACTTCACTTAGAAAGAGAAAATCAAATGCACAATTACAAAATAGGGAATAACTGGCGAGGCAGTCATAATGCAGAAAAAGATCCTGGGGATCACAAATTGAATACGAGTCAGCAATAGGATGCAGTTGAAAAAAGACTAATATTTTAGGGTGTGTTAACAGGAGTGTTGTATGTAAGACACAGGAGGTAATTGTCCTGCTCTACTCTGCACCAGCGAGGCCTCAGCTGGAGTATTGTGTCCATTTCTGGGCATCACAGTTTAGGAAAGATGTGGAGAAATTTGAGAGAGTCCAGAAGAGAGCAACAATAATGATAAAAGGTTTAGAAAACCTGACCCATGAAAAAAACTTTAAAAAAACTGGGCATCTTTAGTCTTGAGAAAGGAAGACTGAGGGGGACCTGATAAGTCTTCAGATCACTAAAGAGTTGTTATAAAGATGACAGTGATCAATTGTTCTTTATGTCCACTGGAGGTGGGACAAGACATAACGGGCTTAATCTGCAGCAAGGGAGATTTAGGTTAGATATTAGGAAAAACTTTCTAACTATAAGGATAGTTAAGCTCTGGAATAGGCTTCCAAAGGAGGTTATGGAATCCTCATTAGTGGAAGTTTTTAAGAGCAGGTTGGACAAATACCTGTCAGGGATGGTCTAGGTTTATTTGGTCTTGCCTCCGTGCAGAGGGCTGGACTTGATGGTATCTCAAGGCCCCTTCCAGCCCTACTTTTCTATGATTCTATGATTACTTAAAAAAATAGAGCCCAAAATACTTTCAGGTAGTTCATTCCTGAATTAGCTGCCATTTGTTGTTTTTAATTATTATTATTATGCCTTTGCATAGCATCGTGCAGGTAACTGGCATTTATAAAGAATAGACGAACTTGGTCCCTACCTGCAAAAGCTTAAATACTAACAGAACAGAAGTTTCAATTTACACTTATGTGGGTGGTCAGGAAAGATTTGGACTCCAAGTGTGGACTGTCTGGGGAAGGAAATCTGGGGAAGGAAATCTGAGGGAAAAACTCAGGATACCCTTTTCTAGTCTATTTCATTTACGTTGTGCACCTAATTCATATTAGTACTTTGAAGAAGGATGGATAAAAATTGCAAAAGCAGCAGCAAAGCTGTCAGACAGGTAGTGTCACTTTTAGAGCACCTGTAAAATGGCTGTGTTTCTTTTAGCCACCAGTGTCTCATAGAAGCTGCCTCCCAGTTCTCGCGTTCATATTGTAATTTTTCACACACATACACATTCAAAATCTCCAAGGTCTAAGACACCAAATGATCATTTCATGGCCATCTTTGGTTCTAAATACACAGTCTTAGCCATGTGATTCTAAGCACTGGACGTATCGCCCCACCCACCCTTTGCTTATCATGCAGCACAAAAATAAGTCCCATGAGTTCAATAAAACCAGGGCTTGAGTGTTGCCTGTTAGCACCCACTTGCTTATTTTCTTGCTCAAATACCTTTAAGCACAGAGAAATATACCCATTTGTGTATATATCTGCAGTGAACATTAGCCCCTCCGAAAGGGTCCCTTCTCAAGTATTTTTTCCCCAGTAAAACATTGTTTTCCTGGTTCACTGTTGCACTGTCATGTTTTAGTGAGTAGAAGTTTAGAGTATGTGCAGCACCATTTGGTAGGCAGCACATGAAATCCAGCGATTCCCAGCACTAAGGGACAAGGTCACTTGGAGGGATGAAAAGAACATATGGAATGAACTTTGGGATGTCCTTGGGACCGTGTGTATATTAGACAACCAATCAGCAGACAGAAAAGAATGTCCAGAGTTCTACTTGTACAGTGTGGTCTGCTGATATCATTGGTGTTCATGAAGGTGCAGTGTATGGGCCTCTCCTTGCTCCACTACTGCTTTTTGAAGCTGGCTTCAATCTGGGAGGTCCTGTCTGCTTCCCCACAGTCTACATGGCTGAGGGATGAGATTGCACTTGGGGTCTGGGGCCCTTTGAGAGCTGGAGTGTCTTCAGTAAAGGTTTCCCTGCTCATGTCTAGGCCTGTGGGTCAATGGATGATTCTTTCCCCACCCTGCTGCTAAACCAAATGCTTGTACCTTTAAAAACAATATCTTGAGATTCAAGAGGGAGAGAAATTGAGGGGGAGGGAAACAGGGTTGTGCACTTATTCATCTAAAAATATTTATTTCTGCCCCAGCCCCAGCTGCTGCTCTAGCCCCAGCGGCTGACTGCCATTCGCTGCTCCAGCCCCCAGATGCTGAACCAACCCCCAGCCGCTGCTGTAATGTGCCCCTCCAGAAGCGGTCAGATTTAAATTCCTGTGCACGCCCCTGGAGGGGAATAAAATAAAATGACACATCCAATATGAAATCCTGCAAATAAGGAGGCTCATGACAGACTCGGCCCCCCATACCTCCTCTCCGCTTTCTTGTTTTGCCTAAAATGGCACAGATACGCTCAAAAGTGATTGTGTAAAAACACCCCCTTCGCAATCTCTATATTGGTGCCTGCGCATCATTGGGTCACAGCTTCTTTCTTTACTGAGGCATAGTTTTTGTTCCCGTTAGCACTGCCGATCTGAGCTGATGCAGCTGCAGAAGAGTCAGCTGGATTCTATTTTGGTGTCTTTGTTTTTCACAGCCAGCCAATGGAGCAGAAGGAGGTCCACTCGGAATCACCAATGCATAAGGTGGCCAAAGCAAACTTGGTAAGACTGGACTATGCTAATGTCCCTCTTGCTGCTCCTGTGCCCTAGCCTGGAGAAAATGCAAACCAAACTCTTATGTGACTCGTTTTTTTTTAACTCTTGTGATTTATTGCATCATCCCACCCCCTGTGTTGGAATTACTGCATTTAAACTTGCCCAATTGCTAATCGCTATCGAATGGCTGAGATTTATAACTCTGCAGTGTTTAGTTATTTATTTGTTCTCCTTGAAAGGAGAAAACATGATTTCAAAGCAATTTACACCTCCTCTTTCCCTGATTCTGTTTTATTCCTTTGCAGCTTGAGAAATTAGTGAATAGCTGCCTAAGCAAAAGGCTCTCTTTGCTCAGGTGGGTGAAATGTTTTGATTATATCCAGTTTGGTTTAGCTTTTGTTTGAGAGCCATGGGATTAAGGCTATCCTGATTGGCACTGGATGGAACTTCTTTGGAGAGGCAATGTGGGATAATACCTACAGCAGGGAAAATAAAATTGTATTTAAAATTAGGGGACCGAGATAATAAGGGATTGGGACTTGGGGTGCCTGGGTTCTTGTCCCAGTTCTTCCACTGGGTTTGCTGTGTAACCTTGCAAAAGTCACATAACAGTGCTATGCCTCAGTTTACCCATTGGTAAAATGTTTACAGTGCACGTTTTCCTTGCCTAGGCTGGGTGGGTTCCTTCAAGATTCTCCTAAAATGCTGCCACTGCCAATGCAATACTCCCCTTTGCAATCACTCTTGCACAACGGCGAGCATCGTCTTCTTCCCAGAAAGTTGCACTAGTCTCCTGGCTTCCTGTGCCACATTGGACAAGTCACATAATCTCTCTATGCCTCAGTTCCCCATCTGTAAAATGTGAATACCACTTACTTCCTCCCATTCAAACTGTCTCATATATTTTGATTACAAACTCTTTACGGGCAAGGACTGTCTCTTATGTGCTGGACAACACCCAGCACAGTACAGCCCTGATCTCAGCAAGAGGATCTACTGTAATACAAATAATAATAGGAAGGAAGAATCTTTCATTAGCCAGGTGGGGTAAGAGTGAAGGAAGAGACTAGATAATTTAATAGACCTTTATTTCTAGGATTCTGTGTTGTCTTGCCTGAATGTTTTTTATCTCTGTGTGTGTCTCTCTCCCTCTCTCTCTTTCTCACTGCAGGAAACCTCCGGAGCTCAATTTCAAACTTTTACAGTGCTTGATCATCCTCCTAGCATTGTTGATATTTTATACATATTTCTTTCATACTACCTGGATATGCCAGATACTGCAGTGTACCTGTCGCAGGCACTATACCAGTTGCCTTCGGCCGCACTGACCCTAGAATATTTGAAAGGGTCGGGACTGGATTACTACAGTGCTGTTTTCCTTTGCTTGCTTTTGGAACAGAGCAAAAGAAAGAGTTAACTTACAAAATAAACCTTTTCCTCAACACTATAAATGTGTGTGCATTAACATGTGGGCTTTCCTATGAGACCTGCATAAGTTCCTCCCACATCTTGCACTTCTCTTTTCAGTCCTTGAACTCTTCCAGTTCTTTGCTATGATTATATATGGACCTCAGCTGCAGAAATTAGGTCCATCTCCAAATTCTGAAGGCCCAGAAAGCTTTAAGGGGTTCATCCTTGCTGGCATTTGAGTTCAGGTCATTCTCTAAAATGTCCATGAAATTAGGGATTAGTGGGGCAGATCTTTAGCTGATGTACATTTTCATAGCGCCAAATCAATGGACGTGACAATTTACACTAGCTGAGGCTCTGCCCCAGTGAATACATGTTGTCAGAGTTCAGATGTGTGGTGCAGGTAGCATTGAGTGCAGGGTAGATGTCACAATCCTACTTCGCTGGGTACTACTCCATAGATAGGCACAGTTGCTCCCAGTCCTCAGCACAGCACACAGACCTTGAGTCACTGATCGAGATGCACTCTTCCTGGTGTTTGGCTTTAGTAGCACGTTTTAATACAGCAGAAGCCTCAGTACAATCTTCCTGTTTGAGTGCTGGTGTTTCAAGGATTTTCCTCCAGGATTTCCTGTGTCCTCATTCCCTCTCCTTTAAGAGCCACCCTCACCTCCCATCTGTCACATTTGGGGTACGTCTACACTTACCGGAGGGTCCAGCGGCAGGCAATCGATGTTCTGGGATCGATTTATCGCGTCTGGTTTAGACGCGATAAATCAATCCCGGATCGATCCCGGAAGTGCTCGCCGTCGACGCCGGTACTCCAGCTCGGCGAGAGGAGTATGCGGCATCGACGGGGGAGCCTCCCTGCCGCGTCTGGACCCGCGGTAAGTTCGGACTAAGGTACTTCAAATTCAGCTACGTTATTAACGTAGCTGAATTTGCGTACCTTAGTCCGAAGTGGGGGCTTAGTGGGGACCAGGCCTTGGAGTAATGAACCACACCTGCTTTTCACACCAACATCTCTGTGCTGACCCTTGTGTATGGAACAACCGCCCTGACTCTCCATGCATTTTGGTCCCTCCAGAAGCCCCATCTCTACTGTGATCCCAGTGAGAAATTTGCTACCTGCCAATGTCATGCCAGAGTAGTACATAGGGTATAATTTACATTTCCTATTTACATATATTTGTGAATTTGACACATAGTTGTTGTTGAGCTTCTCATAAACTGTTTTCTGATTACTGGTTGTCTGGCTTTAGATTGTGTGATCCCTATCCGCACCCCACGCCCGAGACAGCTAACCATGCCTCTGTCTTTGTTTGGAAGGCTACTAGCACAACTGTGGATGTCACCAGAAATAAACAGTAATAATCAGGCCTGCCTTAGGGAGTCAGCAGGAATCAATCAGCATCCCCCTGTAGAGCTCCTACCCCTGCTAACCGCTTGAGTCAACCGCAGAGTCCCACACCGCACTACATTCATCCTTAAATGTAAAGTCTCACTTCCTGTCTGCTGCTGAGAGGAGTAGGAATCGGGGAACTCAAGATGGCTGCCGTTACAGAGTAAGTTACATGCCACTGTTTTCTCTCTGACTCTCACACTCACACTGCATTTGCTTTTGCTTTATCTAATCTGAAGTAAAAGTCATCCATGTTAAATGCGCATGTTTTGCTCTTTGCATATGAAAAACATAACAATTAATTAAGGCTTAGGAAGTTCAAAAGGGGGTGTCCAGCTTCTTTAGCCTCCTAAAATGAGTCTCATTTCCAGTTTGTTATGATATCGCCTCCTCCAGTTCCCTTTCTCCTTCTGCACAGATTGGAAATTTCCTCCCATATAGTTGGCTTGTGCTAGGCCCAAGAGCTATTTTTTGAATGTCCCTGGTGCAAAAAGGGTGAGGAGAGAGGGAAAAGGAGGCTGAAACTCTCCGAAACATTAGATTTGGAAAGAAAACACACACGTTGTTTACGATGGTTAGAAAGCACTCTCAAAGCAATTTCTGGAATACTGCAGCCTTTAATAGTGATACTTCTGTGCTTGGGGCAACTACTGTAGTATCTTTTAATAGGAGAACACTAACGTAGTAATTATCGCAGAGCCAAGCAAAGATGAAAATTAGGCACTATGTAGAAGATAAATCATATAGCTTAATCCATAAACTTAAATAACAGGCTACTATACTGAAGAGTTTCCCACCATACATAAAATATAATGAAAATGAATGTGATGTTTAAATGCTGTAATTGTAATTGTTGATAGGGGATATTGGTGATGATGGGTGTAGCTGAAGAGTGTATTGGTGTTGCGTCAAACGTTAAAAGTACGGGAAATCACACAAGAGTGCAGTTCTGCTAAAAATAGAAGTAGCATTTCCCTTCCTGGCTGGCCTGTGCTACTAAAACCATAAGGAGAGTTCCTCCCTGGATAGCATGCTGAGAGTCTCCCTCTTGTTTCACCCTCTTTTAACCACTGTGCTAGAGGGAAGTTTGGGGGTTGCTATGTGGGATACTGATGGGGGTTGGTGTTGATGCTGGGCAAGAGTTTGCTAATGCTGCTAGGTGAGAGAGACTGTTAAACCAACTTACTTGCCTAAGTCCAGTGGACAAGTAGATTTTTGTAAGCCAGCTAAGAAGGCAATGTAGTGTTACTTATGTTCTTCCTTTTTCTGAACCTCCTGAATTTTGTTCTTCAGATCAGACAGTCTACGTCTGAGGCATACACTTTGTTCCCTCTTTTAATGAGGTGAGAAGGAATTGTAACACCTTCCTCTCTTCATTTTCTTCATTTTCTTCTAGGGATATTGTGACACTGGCTTCCTCTGTTAGTCCACCCCATTGCTCAACACATCCCAACTGTTGTACCAAGTTCTTTCCCCCCGCCCATCAGATGTTCATTAACTATTCTTGTTCTTTAAAAAAAATCAGTTTTGACCCTTTTATGATTAATATTTTTTCTGTCTCTGTCTCCTTTCATCTGCAAACTGTTTTGAAGTGCATTGTCCTCAACCAACTTCTCCCCCCCCCCCCCAACTTAGACAGTTTTTTTACAGGGTTGTAGGTATGTTCACGCGGAG